AGGTCAGTATAATAAAAACGATATAGGGGCATAAATCAGTACCATCGGTAGAGTTGATTGAATTAAGTGGCATCGACAAAGCGCTTGACGAGGGACCATCGGAGACACTGATGGTAATGACACCATCAGGGTCTGTGAGAGCCAGCTTCCTCGCAATTGACTGGAAGGAGAGCACACTATATATGCGCGGGTCACTGAATTGCCTCGCTTATTGAAATGACGACTTACAAGGGTTTCCCCAATACTTCTGGGGTAATCGCCGAGACGTCGATCGCTTGTGTTACAAAACTCGCAGTGGAGAACACATAAAGACAGTGCTTGTCGCACTGTACATCACTCTCTGAGAAGTCAACAAAGTTGACATAGGCGCCTAAAAGGTGGGACGATACTTAGCTGGCTTCTTCGCAACGAGGGGGATAGAGAACATGACTTACAACCCTGTCCATCCGCGAACCACAGGCTGTCGCCTTCTTGATCTTCTGAACGGAGTAGTTGGGGGGATGCTGCCATTGTGGGGGATCCAAAACCAACGGGTGTCATAGGACGACATACTCAGCCTTTAAAGAGGTCCAGCAGGATGAGACGACGGCGGCCAGAAATGTCGCGTTTGCCATCCTACCTCCCATCCCCTGCGTGTTCTCTCAAATAATTATATTTTTGCATTTTGATTCCACGTTAAGCTGTGTAAAGAGAATGTCGGTCAGGTGTATCAAACAGCCTGAATCCCCCTGTGGCACAATAGCTATTCGCTATGGAGCCGCTTCGGACTCAAGGAGCATTCAGTTCTACGCGAGGAAGGAGCCTAAAGGGGTATTGAATGCTGTCTGCTTTAGGAAAGCTGGTCAGTACAGCGAGGAGTTCAGTTCAATGGCTGTCGATCGAGACAGGCATTCCTGGCACTCATAGCCTCGGAGCTTACGAGTAGATATCCTAATGGAATTTTTCAATTCTTTCGGTCTCGGGTGCTCAGCCAAGTCGACCAGTACAGTTTTTGCAGACTATCTGCCAGTAATCTCCCTGCAACATACTTGGCGTCTGACATTTGCCGGCCAAAAAATGCTAAGTAAATCGCCATTTCCACTAGTTTGGATACAAATCCTTCTAGAGGAGAAGGAATATGCCACCCTGTGCAGGCACGCCGCATCCACGAGAGCGTCTGTTTGGTCGCTCGGTGCCTATTGCAATTCAAAAACATTCTTCTCTAGTACAGATGGATGGAGAATGTGGGCCAGCGTTTTGTTTCGCCCGAAATTAATGAATCCTACGCCGAGTGCGGACGGTCAACGCACTAGAAATGTGGGGTTACAGGTGGTGGATGGCCCTGTTCCTTAGCCACCCAACTGAGGTCGATCCCATAAGATCCGCGTTCCGATAGAACTCAGTCGCTTAGACCGTTATTTTCCACTCACTGCTCGTGGTTAGGTAAGCCAATAGCGGGCGACGCGACACTTCGCTCTGGTAAGCCTAAGAGTGGTGGAATTCGATGCACGGCGACGCTCACTGTTCTACTAGTGGTAGAGACCGATGGTAAGCGGTGCTTGCTGTACTTGGCTTGTTTTATGGAGTTGAGACCGTTGGTTGGCTTTTACGGATTATTCTTCGACGTCAAGAAAACACGGTCAATTGTACAACTCTGTACTATTCGATGCAACACATTTCTACGTATTAATATTGGCTACTCGGAGCGTCACCTCAAACTATCCCCTTGTACTGAATGATGGTGACGGTGCAGTCATCATGGTCATGGTCATTGCCGTCTTCGGAGATGATCTATAGATGGTTTCATCAGTAACTCGTAGCTGCGGCCTATCACTGGGTCACATACCGTGTCCTTTCTAATCTCAAGAGGGTAGTGAGGCTCCTCAGGTGCCTTGTGGATCTAGATCAATAATTCAATATACGTCTTTACCAAAGAGAAGACATCATGGGATGAAAAACAACGAGACGTACCTGAGGAAGAATCACGGTCTTGGAAGGCTTGAAAGATCCGCTGGTCTCGTATTCAATCTTGATAGTGGCCGTGCGCTGTCCGCTATACGGACCGAAAGACCAATACTCCACCCTGTTCTGGACGTTCGCCATGTTCTTCCTCACGCCAGAGCCCTCGAAGGTGGCCATGGATTCGGTCTGTCCATCGGAACGCTTGATGGTCAGGGTAGCGCGCTGGTTGTTTGCCGCGTTGACCGTCTAAGACACATTATTCAGTAATTGAGTCGTTCACTACTGAGTAATGTGGCAGGGGGGCACAAAGGTACTCACGCCATTCATGAAGCCCTTGTATCCGGCAAGGACGGTGAAACTAGTCTCGTTGGAAGTGGTAGACATGATCAGAGGATATGTGTGAGCGTTGATTCGTTAAGACGATAGAAGACTAAGCTGATGCGAATGCTTCTGCGATGAGGAGCGAGTATTCCAGAGCATCTTGAACTCCACCTTTTATAAGACTTCGAAGGATAGCTGGTATATCGATTCATGCGAGGAATTGGGACTTCTCCTGTATGCATGATCTTTCCTCATCAACAAAAATGGTCTGATAGCTCCAGATTATGGGCAAGCTGCAACCCTCTAGCGTTCATCATACACGAGGGACTCCGAAACTCTCATTGATTCGAGAGGAAAGTCATTTTTCAGAGGCATATGAGCGCTTTTTGGAGGGAAAATCATGTCTCATATCGTAGGATGTGAACCCGAAGTGGACGTAGCTCAGCGACTCACTCATAGCTACCGCCTCCACACATGCAAGCTGACCAAGATAGCTCATTCATTTCATGAGAAATCTCGAGGACCCTTCGGGAAACCATATCTCCGGTCGTTCTTCGACTCACTATGACCAACACCCGAACTCGATTTACACACCGGGAGTGTATAACACTGCATGCCTTCAAACATGTGATATAGCTTATCATTTGAACGGAATTTATCGATTCAGAGTACTTTCTTCTGCACTCCTTTATCAATTTACGAGGTTCCCTGTCACGTGATCAGTGCCACCCCCCGAGCCAAGAACGGTTTGCATCCGTAAATCGAGTACCAATTGAGCTCAGAAATGGTTCTATTCATAAGCCTAGAATTTTCAAAACGAGATCACATTGCTCGTCCGGTCCGGTTCTGGGCCACCATCCTCTGGCAGGATCCCACTCCATCCTCCTTTCATCCTCCACTTGGCTTCAGCACATACGCGGCCACTAATGGCCGACCTACGGCCGCGTGTCTGGTATGACTACGCCATGTTTGCGCCCT